GGGCGCGTTTAAAATGCAGGATTCTGGTTGGTTGGGGAGGGACAGGCTCAGGTTGTTTTTTTGCTCCTAAATCCCCTGAGTCTGCAGAGCCAGTTGAGAGCTCCCAGGGTAGCAGGTCACAGTCAGGGCACAGGCTCCTATCTGTGACACCGCAGCACGGAACTGGTGGAAACACATTTGTCCATCACAGACTGGCCACCATCCTGCCAGCAAGCACTGCGGGCCCCACCTTACAGGTGTAAAACCAAAGCCCAGGAGTAAGGCAGCCTGTCCGCCCAGCCTGCGCCCGAGCCTGTGTCCCCGCAGCAGCAGCTCACCGTCCGGGTGCGCGGGGAGGCAGGACCCACGGAAAGCGCTTTGGCTATCAGCGCTCACTCCGCAGGCGTCAGGCACCGTCCGCTCTCCACCCTGAACACCGGCCTGCTTGCCTGGTCTCCGCTCTCCACCCTGAACGCCGGCCTGCTTGCCTGGTCTCCGCTCTCCACCCTGAACACCCGGCCTGCTTGCCTGGTCTCCGCTCTCCACCCTGAACACCGTCCTGCTTGCCTGGTCTCCGCTCTCCACCCTGAACGCCGGCCTGCTTGCCTGGTCTCCGCTCTCCACCCTGAACACCCGGCCTGCTTGCCTGGTCTAGCTTGTCCCCGATGAAATGGGCGGCCACATGGGCCGGCAGCACATTTTCCAGGAGCAGGCGATTCACGCTCTCCATGGTCTCAAACTCCTCGTGTTCCTTCTTGAATTTCTTCTTCCACAGGCAGTCCAAGCGGCAGTAATAGTCAATCTACAGGCGGCACAGCAGTGTCCTGGCCCCGTGAGCAAGGGGCATGGCCACCAGCGGCCGGGGGCCCACCTGTAACCCTGCCCATCGGCACTGCCCACCCTGCGCCCGCGGCAAACGCCTCCCTTATGTGGCGTCACCTTCTGTTGGGACTAGGGACACTGTCTCGGGACCCCGACCAGGGCTTTCCCACGGGACTGTCTGCCCCAAATCTGAGGCAGCCCAGCCCCACCCGTCCCCTCCAGTGGAGGCCAGGTCNCCCCGGGTGGGCCATACCCCAGGGCGGGTCACACCCCGGGTGGGCCATACCCCAGGGCGGGTCACACCCCGGGTGGGCCATACCCCAGGGCGGGTCACACCCCGGGTGGGCCATACCCCAGGGCGGGTCACACCCCGGGTGGGCCATACCCCAGGGCGGGTCACACCCCGGGTGGGCCATACCCCAGGGCGGGTCACACCCCGGGTGGGCCATACCCCAGGGCGGGTCACACCCCGGGTGGGCCATACCCCAGGGCGGGTCACACCCCGGGTGGGCCATACCCCAGGGCGGGTCACACCCCGGGTGGGCCATACCCCAGGGCGGGTCACACCCCGGGTGGGCCATACCCCAGGGCGGGTCACACCCCGGGTGGGCCATACCCCAGGGCGGGTCACACCCCGGGTGGGCCATACCCCAGGGCGGGTCACACCCCGGGTGGGCCATACCCCAGGGCGGGTCACACCCCGGGTGGGCCATACCCCAGGGCGGGTCACACCCCGGGTGGGCCATACCCCAGGGCGGGTCACACCCCGGGTGGGCCATACCCCAGGGCGGGTCACACCCCGGGTGGGCCATACCCCAGGGCGGGTCACACCCCGGGTGGGCCATACCCCAGGGCGGGTCACACCCCGGGTGGGCCATACCCCAGGGCGGGTCACACCCCGGGTGGGCCATACCCCAGGGCGGGTCACACCCCGGGTGGGCCATACCCCAGGGCGGGTCACACCCCGGGTGGGCCATACCCCAGGGCGGGTCACACCCCGGGTGGGCCATACCCCAGGGCGGGTCACACCCCGGGTGGGCCATACCCCAGGGCGGGTCACACCCCGGGTGGGCCATACCCCAGGGCGGGTCACACCCCGGGTGGGCCATACCCCAGGGCGGGTCACACCCCGGGTGGGCCATACCCCAGGGCGGGTCACACCCGTCTTTCTGCCTTGACCAGGTTAGGTGGACAGGCCTGCGGACCCTGATCTGGGGCACCACATGGGCACGAGACCCACAGGAGGGTCTGGCGGCGGCAGAGGTGGGCCAGGGCTCCTGCAGAGGGCCCGGACCTGCCCCACACCACCCCCTCCCTCACGGTCAGGGCATGGAGGTGCCCCGTTAGGTGAGGGGTCTGGGACTGTTGAACTTCACCTCATGGGGCTGGGACCGAGGCCACCGGAGTGGCCGAGTACCTGGTTCTCATGCCCCGAGGGGGCGCTGAGTCCGGCAGCTGCCATGTACGTGCTGCCAATCGTCTTGATCTTCTCCACGCTGCTGAACTTGGGCTTTAACAGCAGCTGCAGGACAGGGAGGCAGGGCATTCGGCGGCCGCAGCTGGCCGGTCCCCGTTCGGAGGGTGTGGGGGGCTGCCGCCCGCCCGCCGCTTCTGACGCAGACATTTCTCACCTGGGCCCTGCCCGCTGAGCTCACACTACATACGGGTGGGTTCTCCCCCTGCTCCCCCTACTGCCCTGGCACTGCCCGTCTCCCTGCCCTTCCGGTCGTGTCTGGTCTCTGGCTCTTGCCAAGGAGCAGGCAGCCAGCTCTCCAGCAGCATCCACAGGAATGTCGACTGTGTTTCCAGCTCCGTCAGGCCCAAGCCCACTGACTGCCCCAGGTTGGTGGCGTGGGCTCAGCTGGAAGTTACCCTCCACAGGGCCTGCATCTAACCTTAGCCAGCTGCCCGGCACCGGGAAGACGGGAAGACGGAAATGCTTGCATAAAGCAAAGAAAAAGGCACATTTGCACCTTTTATAATGTGTGATGTCCTCTCCACAGGGAGCTGGCACGTTTGTTAATCGGGGCACAGGCCTGTGCCACCGCCCACCGCCCACCGCCCACTGCCCACCGCCCAGCCCAAGCCCCACCTCGTCAAAGTCGGCGATGATCTCGTTCAGCAGGCGCAGGCACTCCAGCCCCTCCTTGTTGACGTCGCACTCGGTGTAGAACACTTTGAACTCCGGCACAGAGGCGAACATGACACAGACGCAGTCGTAGGACTGATGGTACCAGTCCTGGGGTGGGAGGAGGGGAGAAATGGGCCTGTGGCCACCCACCCAGCGCCTCCCCTCAGAGCCGGAGGAGCAGGAAGCAGCCTGAGCAGGGGACCCCTGGTGCTGCAGACGTTCCTGGGGGAAGGGGGGCTGGGCTGCGTCCCCAACCTGTCT